GTGTTGATTTTCATAAAAAATTTAAAAACTAATTTAAATACCAAGTAACAACGAGAGATGATGCAAGAAAAATCTTTTTTTAGTTTTTCTTAAAGCGGTACTTGAACGTCGAAGTTTTTGTGGCAAATTTTTATTTCTTCTCGACGGGACAAATTGGATCTCGTCGCCTAGCATTGAACTTTTTTATTATCGCGCGCAAATTGGCTCTGATATGTTGAAATGCACATACACCCTTCTTTTTTTTTTTCTCTCTCTCTCTCTCTGTCTTCTCGTTGTACATGTGCCTACACGTACGTACAGCACACGTGTGTACATGTACGTTACCCCGGAAATCGATTAACCCGATTCCGTGCAACGTCGTGCATCGCGAGTTAACGTCGACCATCTAGCCATCTACCTTGCCAGCCACGTACGAAGACATTCCGCAAGCCGCCTTCTGCCGCGCCCCATCAGGCTCTCAGCAGAGCGTGTACGTTTCGTATATCGCGCGGGGCCAAAGTGTACGGTAAGCATTTATTCCGTCGCCAATTCAGAAACGAGCGAGATCGAATACTTTCCGAAGGCGCGCGACCGGATCGGGGGTTATTATCATCCGAGAAAATTGCCGCATCTGGGGGCAAAAAAAAAAAAAAAGAAAAAAAAAAATAAAGAGCCGCAGGAAAAAGGAAGCGCCTAGATATCTCGGGATTCGCGCGCGCGTTCCCGATGTGTCGCGGAAGCGGAATACACGCGCGACGCGTGTGACGTGACCGCTCAGTTTCCGACCGCGACTCTACGTGCTCGATATATCGGGCGCGAAAATGCCTCCGGCAAATAGTTTTTTTTTTTTTTTTTTTTTTTACATTATTCGATTAATACTGCTCGTATAACCAACGGTAATACGAACAACCGTAAAATGGAGAAAGTTCCGAATATTAATATCACGCCGTTGAATTTTTCATCCCGCTCGTTTGCGATTATATATATTTGCATTTGATTTTTGTCGTCGTTTTTTGTGCTCGCCGACGCTCGAATGTTGTTATCGATGCCAATTTGTTTGCGAAAAATTATGCGCGCGGGGTTTGAATTGACGCGTAGAGTTTGAATGCAACGACGGATCTCTTTTCAACGTACACCTTTGGAATTTGCGTGTACGTGTAGTAAAAGATACAACAAAAGACCTCGATCTGATGTGTGTATGAAAATTTCTGTAAAAAAAAACAACAACTCTTATCAGTGTGACAAATATAATAGTTTTCCTTTTTATTTCAAATACAATTTTTCATCACGCGCAAAGGCTTTGAAAACTCTTTTAAATCTTTGCTGTACGCAAAAAACTCGAGTGAAACTCTGCTGGATGCAAAGAAAAAATCAAATTCAACTTCTTTCAATGGTCGCGCTTCACTTCCAGGATGTAGAAATTAACTTGTTCGCGTACAGGACAGCCGGAAGAACTGCATTATTCGTCACGACGACTCTCCGTCGCTTCCTTCTCGCCCTCGATTCGGCCATCCCCAAGAAAAGTCTGGCATCGACCATTATTATTCGCGATTGCCGCCAACTCGAATCGGTCCAGACAGCCGGACAATCGATTGTGGCGGACGATTTTTCGTGGTGTCTCGCGGAAGATCCTATTACTGGTGTCTCGGCCGGTCAAGATAGACGACCGAGAGGTTAATCGGGTTACACAATGAGATTACCACGGACGTGTGCCTTTTTTTTTGTTAAGAGAAAGCCAGATTTAAGAAAAGTACACGTCGTTTATATATTTTTACATACGTTTGCAATTAATGCTCACTTTTTCTGTGTTTCTTTTTCCGAACAAAATTAATTTTTTCCAGACATTAAAAGTGTAAGACGTTACGTGGTGGGGGCAGAGCAATCTGGAAAATCTGAACACCCTGAAATTGACAGAATCGATAACTTCGCGTTAATTAATACTGGAAAAAGTTCTCCCTTTCAGGCTCTTTTCAGCCCGGATCGGAATGTAATTAGTTTCCGGGCATCAACGAAAACGCTCGTGACGCTCAATTCTCGCGGCGGAAAAAAAAAATTCGGCTTCTATTCTCTCGATAAAGTAAAAGTTGCGACAATGATGATCAACATTATTAATCGACGGGGGGTCGCGCAACTTCGATCTCGCGAAAAAGCCGTGAAACTTTAATTTCAATTCGAAACTCGGCAACTGCTCTCATGAAAAAGCGCAAACTTTCTCTTTTAGATCCGATCTTTTTTTTTTTTCCTATCGGAATATCAGATGCCGTTTGATATTGCCTTTTATGACTAATTTGCAGTGGCGCTATAAAATTTATATCGGGGTTCGTTAAAGAAATATACGGGCTACCCGTAGAGAGAACGACATCGCCGCTGCGTTAACCGTAAAGGGGCGCATCACCGTGGCTCTTATATCTGTGAGCGAACCGGAAATATTCGTTCAGTCGAGTATTCGCGAGTTTTGTGCAAAAGTTCCGTCGATTTGATGATAAATTTTCAGCGAACTAGAATGTATAAGTAATTGCGAATTAAAGTACACGTTATATAAATAATTTTTTTTTTCAAGCGAGCGCCTAATAGTTGGTACTTAAATTCTCACACGTGATGTCATCGATGTTACTTCACGCATCAGAGCGATTGAAAACTCAAGTTGGATGAACATCACTGAGCCGCAACCGATATTACCTGTCCCGGGTACGCCCTTCTCTTTTCTCACGTATCTCCTGAAAAAGTCACGTCAGTGGATCCGGGGTCACTTCAATTCCCTTCTGCTTTCCCTCCAACTCTCTCACATGGTTTTTCTTGAACTTTTTTCGGATTTGCGCGGCGTTACCGAAGAGTGATTTCCCGATTTGTTCGACCGGCGCCTTCTTCGAGAATTCGCTTTTCATTTCCGCAGCGTAACGAGTCTATATTTTTCGACGTACTCTTCTTCCCATCAACCCCCTTCGTACAGATTCTCCTTAGCACGTCCCAGGTGCGCACTCCGCCAAATTAGCTTTGTCAGCTCTTAACCGGTTATGTAGCGCTACGTACACCCTTGTCGGATCTTCGGTAAAAGTGTACGACTTGATTCCCTCGCCATGGATCGATCTTGGGGAATTGGGGTCGAACAACGGAGCTGGTAGATTTTGTCTTTGTCCGGATCGTCTTCGTTTTTTTTTTTTTTTTGGAGGAGAACCAAAACCGACGCTCGCGACATTAGTTTCCGCGTGATTTAATTTATTCTCGCGTTGCTGAATTTTATTTTCGGACGATCTTTTCGGAGAAATGAAATTACGCGATGAGTCAAAACTTCTAATGAAAGTTCGAATGTTTTTTCTTGCAAAAAGAATGCGTTCTATAAATTACCGAAAGAAACACTTCAATCGTAAATGTTTGAGATATATCTTTTTCGCGAGCTCGTGCATCTCTTGCACGACGCTTCTTCTTTTCTTGCTCGATCAGACTCATTGAGAAACGCGCATTTCTTCCGCTTCCGGGTCTAGCCAGCTACTGCAATCGCAATTTAAAGTTGTTCGGTTTAAAAAGATCTTTTCAGAGCAAGGTCTTCTTTTTTCCGACCGAAGAAGAAGACGCGCGTTCGTGCGAAAGACGTGAGAACGTCAAAATCTTTGATATCACTGCTCTAAGAAAACGATAAATAGCGCACTTAACTTATTGAGTCGGAATTATTCAATCGGTGTCTTTTGAGTCCGTTTTCTCTGAGAACTACGAAAGTTCTCTTATTAACCAGACAAGTTTGATTGGAACGTTATAAATATCTCGAAAAAATTTTCAATGCAGTAATATAATCTCATTGCAAATGTTAAAAATCTTAATTAGAAGGAAAAGAATTAAAAGGGTGAGTAATTGATACATTACTGCTTTTGGCTATTATTTTTTCTGATCTTTATAAACATCTCTTCCAAATATTTATATATATTTTTACACATATTTATATATATTTATACATTCAATAAAAACGCACTATGTGTCTTGGCATACATTTAAAAAGTTGAAGCGGTAGATTGTCGCATATTTTTCTCCGAAGAAACGTCTTGCTTGAAATGTTTACAGAATAGTATATACAAAAGATGATACAAAGATATAAGATATTCCGCGTATTTGTATAGCAAGATAGAGTAGGTTTTATGTGGACATTGTATGTATATTTTTATAAGGAACACATCTTGATTGACTTAGAACGATTAAGCGTCGATTAATTAACGCTGATTACAATTTTAGAAAATGGCACATGCACATTCCGCGATATCATTTAATGAAATTTTTCGACGTTCTTTTTCAGATTAGACGATATATTTTTACAACATATTCACGCACACATAGTCTTTTTGTGTGTTTTTTTTATCTATAGCAAAATAATTACAATGATTTGCATCCGACACACACACACACACACACACAAAAATTGACCGTTTATTGGTACGTTTTATTACTTACAAAATATAGTTTGTGACAAAATAATTTTGTCACAAATATAAATCTTCATCAGTTACACAAATATATTTGCATCATATAATTCTATTCTTTCTGTCTCTTACCGGTGGTCGTTCAAGATAATTCTTAGGTTTTACGTATACATATAATTCAATATATTATTATATATATATATATATTTTTATATTAAATTTAAAAACGGAATAGTAATCGTTGTACTGTCAGTGATTTAAAGACTAGACTTTGGTGCGATTCGAGTTCGCGAGATATGATCGTCAATTATATAGTTTAGTTTTTATCACATCCGCATAACTACAGATTATTCGTTACGTCACACTTGCTGACGAAAGTTAAGAAACAAAATAATATTTTTTAATCGCTGACCAATAAAATAATGTCGCACATTATTTCTGAAGTCATTTTCGAACAAATTGAATTTACTTTCATCACTTTGCAGAAGTTTTGACTCGCACACAGTAATGTATATATATTCGTACACCAAAGTTCTTCAATAACTACTGTGTTTCTCAACTTTTGTCAGTATATAGTTCTTCTCAATATTATTCTTACCTATAGATATGTTGTACTTATACATCTGGTTTATTTTTCTCGATCGACTGAGCAGTTCTCGTCGGTTTGGGAGTTATAAACGGTTTGCTTCTCTAAAAGCACAAGTTTTGCACAGTTTAGATACACACATACTCGTGACTATGTATCAAGAGATGACAGAATAGTAATATATTCAGAAATTGTTTTAAGAAAAAGAATACCTTTTCATATCACACACACACACACACACGCGCGCGCGCGGAAATTGAATAGAAAGAAAGAAGATGCGCGTAAATCCTATAAATATCCTCGAGAAACACACTTACTCTGCAGTAATAAATTTCTTCTTTTTCGTGATTTTGCATATGCCGCTGCAGGTTACCTTGGCGGCTGAAAGCGCGCCCACATACTTGACAGTTATGCGATACCGAAGACAAGTGCATTTTCAAATCGCACTTTAAATCTCGAGCTGTCTCGAAAGACCGGTTACAAATCTGGAAAAAAAAATTTTAAATCCATCTATATATTTAGATGTACAATGTATATAGTCGCATACATATATAGTGTATTACTTTTCTAAGTGTTTTTAAAAAAAATACATATATATATACAACAGAAAAATAGTTTACACCGCATGTATAGCTTCTGTTTTTATGAGGGTCGCTTTGTTTCCTCGAATTGTTTTTGTTAGTTTGTTTGCAATCACCACACATAGATTTGTTCGGCACTCGTTTTGTTGTCTTACATTTTTTTCCACAAATCTTGCATATTACAGTGCGTCGCGCTATTATAATTAACGGGAAGGGTCTGCTTCTCTAAAAAAAAAAAAAAAAAAAAAAACAGACAACACGTTTCTTAGATATGATTGTATATATGAATGTACAATACATCTTGTACATATAAATATTTTGTGGAGAGAAAGACACTTACTCTGCAATAATAAATTAGATGATTTTTATTATGCTGCTTTAGGTCGTATTTGAATCTGAAACCCATTCCACATTTCTTACATCTGTGCGGCTTTGGAGCTGCATGTCTCAGGAAATGCATTTGCAGGCAGTGTTTCGTCACGTAGCCTTTCCCGCATTTGTCGCAGTTATACGGTTTCGTGCTCGAATGATTTTTTTCATGCACTTGCTGAACCATTTTGGTTTTGAATGCTTTTCCGCATATATTACATTTATACGGTCTCAAAGGTGAATGACGTATCAAGTGCATCTTCAGGTTGTGCTTGAGTGTAAAACCCTTTCCGCATAAGTCACAGTAAAACGGTCTCGAATAGAAGTGAGTTATCTGATGCGTTCGTAAGGCTCTCTTCTCCTTGAACACTTTTTTACATTCTATACATTTATGCGGTCTCAAATTTGGACAACAAGACACGTGCGGCTTAAGCTTGGCTTCGGTCTCGAAACTTTTTCCACATTTGCATTTGAACGGATACGCGGACGGATGAGTTCTTTCATGCTTCACCAAGCAGTCTTTGGTCTTGTAACTCTTTTCGCACTCCCTACATTTGTACTTCCTCAAAGATGTGTGTCTCGCCAAATGATATTGCAGTTTGTACTTGGCCATGAAGCCTTTTCCGCACTTGTCGCAGATGAACGTTTTTGAAGACACATGAAGTTCATTGTGCTGGGCCAGATTGTCCTTGGTCTTGAAACTTTTTCCGCAATCCTTACATGTGTGCGGTCTCAAAGACGAATGAAATACAGAATGCCGTCTCAGTTTGTGCTTGTCCTTGAAACATCGTCCGCACTTGTCACAGGCAAACGGCTTCAAGTTCAAATGAATTTTTTGATGCACGTACAGATTGTGCCTGGTCACAAAACCTTTGCCGCATTTGTCACAGGTGAACGGTTTTTTACTCAAATGACTTTTCTCGTGCACTTGCAGGACATGCTTGGATTTGAAATTCTTTCCGCATGAATCGCATTTAAACGGTCTAGCTGTTGAATGACTTACCAAATGCTCTTGCAGATGGTAGTTGCTTATAAAACCTTTTCCACATGTCTCGCAGACGTACGGTTTCTCAGTTAAATGAATTTTTGAATGCATTTGCAACGTGTGTTTGGTCTTGAAGTTTTTTCCACATTTCTCGCATTTATACGGTCTTGTAGGCGAGTGAGCGCTCGTATGGTAACGTAAAGCGGAAGATGATGTGAAAGACCTTCCACACATCTTGAAAGAAATATAGTAAATTTTATTATATCTATTTGCGGTATAGAGAAAGAGAGAGAGAGAGAGTTATAACATATTTATTATATTTTTTTAAACATCTTCGAAGACGAATGAGAAAAACAGCTTACTTTACAAGAATAACGGGGAATATATTTATTAATGCGCTTTTTCTTATGCTTTTCAATTTTAGGATTATCACATGCACACGTATTCCTCGAACTGTTCTTGGATGTCTTAGATTTTCCACAAACAGTACATTCTATAGATATCGAACTGATGTGCAATATATTCTCGGTCTCACTCATTTTTTTGTTTTGTGTTTTTCTATCACAATAGAAAGAAGAAAAAAATTTAAAACTTTGTTCTCGAGATCCTTTATGATGGAGGTATCAACGGTCTTATGTATTTTAAAATTATACGCTTACAGCATAGTGCGTATAATAAATATTTTATAATATACATTATATTTGCAACTTATGTCAAACACGCGTATATTTATACGCAATAACTATAAGTATGAGCATGGTCATTTTAAGAAGGCAAATGTGTTATCGCAACAAACCGAACAATTAAATGTCTGAAAAAAACTTTTATACAAGAAAAATGAATGATCGTCGAAAAATCGAAAATGTCTGAAGATTCTTTTCGATCGCTATCAGCAGAACGAGACAATTACTTTTTTAATTTAAATGTGTGTTAATTTATATTATAGCTTCTAATTCGATGAACGTATTTCTTATTACTTATGAAATATTTTATTATATAAAAATTTTATAGTAGATACATAAATCACTTATATATGTATTTTTGTATTTTTATCGTATAAGTTATATTCTTTCTGTTATTCACATATACATCTCGTGCACTCAAGGCGAATAATATATGTTTTATATACGCGTCCACATAAACATATTGGATACATAATAGCTGCGTTTCGATATTCACACCGCTTGTTTTAGTAATGAAAATTTATAGTACACGTAACTACAGAAAATCTATAGTAAACTACAGATTTCCAGTATATTGAAAGTAGTAATATTGAAATTACAAAAAGAAAAGCTAATCCTCTTCTTTTAAATACTTGAGGAAAAATATATATATATCTTCTGTACTACAAAAACAATTAATGTGAAAAAATAACTGAGAAACTTTTATACATTATAAAAACCTCTATCCATTATAAAATCTTTTTTGCAAAAGAACTGACGTTAGAAAGGAGTGCCATGTACTTTGAATGACTAGCTTCATGAGAAAAACGGATTTGCGTAGTAGGAGCACGTACGCTAGCAGTACCCCTGGCGTAGGCTTTCTGTCATACATACCAGCGCGAAGGGTGGACGTTACGTATCGTTTGTCTTTGTTTATCTAAGCTCGTCGAAATCGATAATGGCACTTGTGTGTCGATTTGGTGTAATAGTCACTACTTTGTTTTAGTTCCCTCTAAATAAGGGCCCATGATAATGTGATATACACACATACACTTGTAATATGTGTGTAGGAAATAAGCAATATCCCATATAAGTTATATTTTTATTATTATCTATAAAGTACATACACCTAACCTCAAATTCACAAATCTATGTCTTTTTTATTTGCGGAAGGTCGCATGTTATTTAATTTTTAACATACGACACATCCACCTCCGCTAGTTCATAAACACGTGGTTAGCAACAAGAAAAGAAACTAAGGAAACACGTGACATTTGGTGACACTATCGTCAGAGTTGTTAAATAGCGTGTGAGGTCACTGTTAGGAACTGGGACGCCGTTTTCACGCATGTGCCTCAGCTGCAGAGCAATTGCAACAAAGTAATATGTTTTGGGAGTCAAACGTTTGGCTCCTACAAAGATAATATTGACCGTGTTCAGCAGAAATATTGCTGAATTGTTGTCTTGTCAACGCTCGGCGTTGATTTGTCGGTTCTAATAGTAAGAGCCAATCACGTTCGATTGCTACAAAACGACTTTTGTTTTGCTACGTTGTTACGGCAGAAATAAGCAATAGAAATGTGTTTGATATACGATCATTTGTGTGTCAAATATATAAAATTAAAATAGATACACTAACGAGTGGAAAATTTATGTAATCGCATATTTTTCTCCATAAATTAAACAACAATTTGTAAAATAACATAGTCGGGCACCTTCTATTTTATTCGTACTAGATACTTTACTGACGCAGAGCCGTTGGCGCGCATGGGCGAAAATACACGACGCCTCACTTCTCAATATTTATCTGCTACGGTTTTTTTCCGTTTGGCAAAGATTTGATTGACTGTCGGATAAAGTTTTCTAGAGTTCTTTATTTGACAACCAATCAGATTTTTGTCGAACGGAAAAAAAACGCAGCAATTAAATCTTAGTCTAATCTCGAGTGCTGCGTGCGCATCGCGAATATCTGCGATCATGCGGCAATAAATGAGAAATTGTAAATATTGCACTGATTTTGTGATTATTATTTATATCAATCATTGAACTATAAATATGGTACATATACGCGTACATGTATGTATACATGTGCGTGTATATATTACATTTCTTATAAAACAATCGATAAATGATAAACCTAAATATGTTAAAATATAAAAATTAAAATCGTTTAAAATTATATAAAACATCAAAATTATTCAAAATTGTTTGCTATATAATTAAATAGATTTTTCTTTTTTATATTAGGCTAACCGATAACTTTGCGATTCCAGTTATCGACTTGATGTGCGGTCGAAACTCAGCGGTTTCACACTTTCGTGTTTCACACGTCGCAGTGAACACGTCGAAGTGAGTTGTAAAGCCTTTTCTCGAATGATTTTTCGCACACAAATTATACTTAAAAATAATTATAAATTACTTAGTTACGTAATCGTGATTACAAAGTGACTGAAAGAGCAAATCTGAATATATAACGTAAAAAAAAATCAAGACACTATAAGGTAAGTCAATAAAAATTTCAAAATTTCATAGTTCTCATGTAAAAGAATAAAAAGTTTTTTAAATTAAAATTTCTAGATGTTGTTACATATTAAATAGGTTTTAAAAAATTTTTACATTTTACAAAATTTTAACAAAATTAATTATACTTGTAGGAAGTTGGAATCTCTCTGGACGACATAATTGTTGTTTTATATATGCAAAAAAATTATTATAATTTTGATCTGGAGATCGATCAAAAACCAACAAATCTCTTCACATTTGAATGCACTGCCTCTGATGATATTTCTGTACCTCGATGACTTCTATCATCAATAAACTTGCGTAAGATAACAAAGCACATAAGTCACTGATCTTAAAACCACGTGTGTTTCGATAATTCACATTGCACACGATCATTCTTTAAAGTTACTTTTTAAAACAATAATATACCTTTAATAGAAAATATTATTAGAATTGTTTAAATTCAAATAGAAAATTTTAGAGGCAAATGCGAGCCAATACACATTAACATAATATAAAAACTACTTACTGATTTCGTCTCGCGAAGATTTTTATTCATAAAAAAGATTTTCATACACGAAAGAAGATTCATCGCTTTTGCCTAAAAAATTTTCTAATCTTCTTTCTGTTTCACTTTGTGCGAAAGCGTCTTCTTTTATATTACCTCAACATTCTGGACATATTAATTAAATTTAGAGAGAGAAAGAAAGAGAGAGAGAGAGAGAGAGAAGCATCGTGAAAGGTAAATTACAGCGAAAGGATTCAAAGTTGCAGGCTTGCATTCTCGTTTTGAACTGGGTGCCTTGGGTGGTGGCAGCGCCGAAAATGGTGTCGGAATTATTTGCCGGACCGTAATCAAAGCGTTCATCACACAGAACGCCGGGCTAAGGTCCCGCAAAATGGAAGTCTTCGCGCAAAGGGCCCGGACATCGCAGACATGGGGGTTGATGGAGGAGTACGAGAACTGGCACGGTCGCGGTTTGTTTAAACGAAATGACGCGAGGTTCGCCAGATATACGCGGCTAGGAAATGCAATTTCTCTCCGAACTCGCCGGCGGGACCACAATCAAGCCGACGATGCGCATCTCTTCTCCGCGCGGCATTTTCGACCCGTCTCTTTCGCCAATGAAGTCGGTTCTCCTTGTCGTTCTGCTCCCGTGTACAAAATCTATTTGCTTGTTTGTCAAACAAGAATAAAAATAAAGATTGAAACCGTGACAATCTTCTTCCGTTTTTTTTTTTTTTTTATTTGTTTAAATAATGATGATGTCTTTCTACTAATTGATGAATTTTTATCATACTCGTGTCTCGCTTCTAAATGACGACTAAATTCGTCCACTTGAGAAAATATTGTAATTGAATGCAAAAATTGAACGGGTAATGTTAAAAATTGAAACTGATGATCTTTCTCGCGGTAGTTTTGTCGACCAAAAACTCTTCTTTCCAGAGTCCATTAATCAGAATTTGTTAGTTAATTTAAGGTCGCGACTAGTGCAAAATGGTGTATACCTATATAGGAATTGTTCCTTTATGAGCGATGTGCACTCGATCTCTTTCTCTCTTATCGTGAATTTTCTAAGACAAAGAAATTTTCAAAGAATCTACCGCGTGAAAAGAAAATGAGGTCGCGTTATATCTTTCACGATTATTCGCGTTTCTCTTCTTTGTGTTCAAGTTTTTTTTTTTTTTGTTTTTTACGTTTGCACAAAATTATTTGTCCTCCTTTCTTGCAGAATCCTCGCGATTCTTTGTGTTGTCGCGAGCGCGATGGAAATGCGGATGACGGATATGGTGCAGCGTCACGTGAGAAGCTTGTCTTTTCCCGACGACAGCAGAATGGGGGTTAGAAACTTTTAATTGAAACACTATTATATATGGACGACGCAATTTGTAATTATAATATATACAGAATTATTTTTCCACATATCTTTTTTTTTTTATCTCAACTAATAAATAACTCACTTGCGCGCGCAGGCACACACATTTCTTTGGTGCCGTTTCGAATGCGAGATTTAGCAATAACTCCATTTTCCGAATTTAATACGTCGGTCGATAAATACAATTCAATTAGCGAAGCGCGCGGAGCATTCGGCGGATTAATGAATTATGTACGAGACTATCGGATGCGTTTTTTTTTTTTTTTTGTGAAAAAAGCTTCTCGCGGAATATGGCGTCGCGTACGATATCGGCTAAGAGAGTGAACGAGCACAATTTAAATTATATCCGCGTCGCTCTTATCTCTACTCACGTTAATTAGCGGACTTGATCGATTACATCAATAGTCTTTAATTTCATTCAGCGCGGAATTGTTTTTTCATGCGCTCTCTTTTCAATCAAAATTTTGTTACACGCACAAATTTTTGTTGATTTTTTTCTGTCTCGACAATATGCAATTAGGTTTTGCAACGCGCAATTGTATATATATATGTATATTTGTTCACGCAACTTGTTGTTATATTTTTAATCATATGAGTGATGTACACATTTTTACGACAGCTTTGACTGAAATTTCTCCGAGTCTCTGCCTTCTCGCTATTCACGTCTCACTGAAATTCGGGAGAAGATTATTCTATTCCGTGCCCCATTTTATATTCACGCTTACATCTCGGCACACGGACGTTCTCTCTCGCGATACGCTATCGCGAACGTAAGTACATTTTCCACGTCGCGTTGCGGTAAAGTCTCTTAACGCCCGTAGACATTTCCTGCTCCACTCTCGGTGGTGCTTCGACTCAGTTTCAGGCTCGTTAGCTACGCCTCCGTCGCGTTAGATGAAAGAAACTCGTCGTTATTGCGTGCTCTCAGCTGCCATTATCGCGCCCGCGGAGTTGTGCGCCGCGCGGATTTTTGTCCCCGGTATCCATATTTAACAAGGGAAAGTTTTCAGACCGAACTTTTGTTCTTATCCGGAAGATTAATCACGCGAGACGCGACTTCGTCATTACGCGTTTCTCCCTCCCCCTCCCCCCGAGTTTTCCGATGCGGCCCCGGAAAACGCGGGGGGGTTTTTCCCGTCGCGAGGACGTAACGAAACACACGCTCGTGAAATAATATCGCGCGGCATATCGAAAACGCGATTTCCGTATCCGAGAAGGAGAGCGAAAAGAAGCGAAACGCGGGATACGTTATGGGAATAAATTGTTTTTTTTTTCAATTCGATATTTTGACGAAATCAAAAGATACAGATCGCGTCTTCCAATCAATTGTTTGCGGGATATATCTTCGTTCTTTCAGTTGTTCTTCGCTCTCGCCGTGCCTCTGGACGATCCGACGTCGACGATGTCGGTGGCTTTGTTTCTGGAGGCGGAATATAAGTTGCCATCGGATGTGACGGAAATCGAATTGGCAAACGGAGATAGCGAGGACAGAGTCAAGAGAAACAACGATCGGCGAAGAACTATAGATCGCGGCACGGTCTACGCCATGTTGGAGTCCAAATTTGAATCGTCGGTATAACTTACGGATGTGACATAAGTATAATAAGCACGAACGCTTTTTATTTTCCTGCGGGACTTTGATCAAAAGAACGCGAGTAAATTTTTTTTCCGTCCTAATGTTTTTCTAATTTGCGTCGCACATATTGTGACGAATAATATCGTAATAACAAACAGCTACCTAAAACGTTTCGAATGAGGAATAACAAATTTGCTTGATGTGACGCTTTGATTTACGCGGGATTCGCAATTTAACAAGTATTGTAAACAATAATAGTTTGCGGTCGTCGAGTGTAAACTCCTCCTCATCGAGATTTGTTTAGAGAAGACCTCGGGAGATTCTCGATTCTCCTGATAGCGCCGGTTCGCACTTGAGGGTCCGCACTTTCGTGAACTTTCGCTTGCGCAAAGTTATGCATACGAATTCCCCGACCCGATATGCAAATCTCATAGTACACGTGTCGGGACGCTTATCAATAGAGGCTATTACCTCCGAGACCGAGATTATATTCAATGCAATTCTTGACGAGATAATCAGCCGCGTCTTGTTCGGAAATTTGCCTTTATTTACATTAACATTGCAACTACATCGGAAAGAGCAGGATCATAATTTTCATTTCAAAGAGAGAAAAAAACAAATCGCTTTTATTTGCGTTTTACCTATTGTCGTGACGTCAAAACAATTATATTTTAATTTTGCGCTAATTACCGATGCTCTGCATTGTTTTTTTTTTTTTCAAATTGCTATTGTTATCACTTTGCAAAGAAGCGAACGCGATGTATTCTCTCCAATCGCGTCGGTAATCTAATTATCATCGCCTATGTTGATTGTATTTAACGATTGCGAGCGCAATTCATCTTATCTTCGCGATGAAGATTGATTTGCGCTCTTCGTAATTTCGTTCCGGCTGTCGCTGAATCCCCTAAACAGGATTCCTTCTTCAATAAGCTCAACATCCGCGCGCTCCAACTGATCCGTGTACGCGTATCTTGACGCGTACACACGGATGCAGAATTGTTTCGCTCTGTTATTTATTATTTATTCTCGTTACATTTTATTCTGCAAGATGACGTGTACATCTTGCAATTTCGTCGCCGAGTTTTGTGACTCGGTTGTTTACGACGAGCGAAAAGATTCAGCGCTTATCACGGGAACGCGCTCCTGTAAATGCCGAGCGCACGAGGACGCGATCGATGCATCGGGCTGTACACGGGAGTGGCCGTCGGTGAGACGCATGACATTTAAATCGAATCCGACAAGTACGAGAAATTTGCATATTGGCGTCTACGCTTAGCTGGTTAGTGCATATCGGATTCCACAGCATATGCTGATGGGGAGACGTTGGGAGGCTTTCGCAGTCGCTTAACGTTGAATCGCTTTTAGCCTTTGATGTCTTGAATAGAAAATGAGTAGCGAAAATTGATGATAAACGTGAATAATTTTGACATGCTCGTTTTAATTTGTTAAACGCTTCATATAAGTTATCTGTCTATAAGCAAGTTTCAAGTTTCGCGAGAAACTGACAACTTAATAATCGTCTAACGCATCTCTTTCCTATTATTTTTCTCTTTTTTTTTTGCACTACAACCATCTCTTTATTTGTTTCCATTTTTATTGCGATATTACTTTTTTTTTTTTTTTTGGTCACTCGCGCGACAGGACTTTTGCATTTGGCTTAAAGAACTTCTTGACGATGTCCATTGTCGGCGACACTTAAAGATCGGCGAGACATTTCTTTCCGCAAACTCAATCCAATTTCACCCTCATTCGTCACTCTTCGCATTACTTTCGGGGAAGAGAAAAACGTCAACCGTCTCGGAAGCGAGTGTGATATAACGTGTGTCTGTGTACACACCTTTACACACACAAATATATATATATATATATTTGATGAATAACCGGAGATAATCTATTATATACTTACACGCTCCGATTAAACGAAGACGTGCGGAGAGTATCGAAAACAGATCTTCACGTGACAGACATACTAATAAATAATAAAACCCACACAATACAGTCCAACTTTGTGACACATGATATAGTCCTACTTACTACACTTACAATTCGCGTCGTATAATCTTTATCTCAAAATTTTTATCTTAAAGGTAATTTTATTTTTAATTACGCGAATGTCAAAAATTCTCAAAACGACCTGGCAATCGATTACCGAGTGTTTCTCCGATCGCTTTCCGTGTCGGACACACTTTATCCTGTCGTTGGAATTACTCTTTGCGCACGTTGCGCGCGGCCGCTCAAGTTTTTCAAGTAGCTGTCAAAAGTGTTCTAAACGACCGAACTTTCCGCGGTATGTACACACACACACACACACACACACACACATGTCGTACGTACATACATACATACATACGACGTGGCAGACACTTCCTGTCCGCGACACGATTGTTCTCGGCGAGCACCTCATTTGTCTCGCCAAACATCATTCATCGCGCGTGGGGACGATGACGGAACATTTGCTCTATTGCTTCAGGATGGGCTATTCGGGACGTCAGTGTCTCCTTAGATCTATATGTGAGACCAAGCGACGAGCCGTTCACGTCCACAACGGGCTCCTTGGCGATCTGTTACATATCGTATTCACGTGAGTCATCCTTCAAAATCCTCTCGATGTATCTCAGCCTTCTTTTTTTTTGTTTTACGCGCGAGAAAACAAAATATCAATTTTTTAAATTCAACAAAAGTAACATCTTTTCTCTTGCTTGTATACTTTAAAAAATGCACGATTTTTCACCGTTCAAGAAACATCCGCTTTCTGCTTACGTCATATTCGTGTTATTTATTTACAAACAAAAAAAAAGAAACATATCTTTGATGAATTTGGAATAAATTATTTTTATTGAAAAGTTCGGCGGAGAGAAGTTCCTCGCCCAATTTTTTCAACGAAAAAGATGTTTGTTGGATCAAGAGATGCAGAACTTTTATTAGACGTTTTTATTTGATCAACACTCGTTGAAAAAAAAACTCGCGTAAAAATTTTTTTTCCGCAGACCGAGCACGTCTATGCCCGAAGAAGATCTTCGCCGGGAGTATATCGATGCGGAGAACGTGAATGAGACGGACGAATGTCTGGCAGCGTACTCCTCTTGCGAACTCAACATTTACGACTTCATAACTTTTTCAGAACCATGAACTTTTTTTTTCTTCCCACGCGTTGTGTGTATACGCTTATAGAAATATTTCTTCTCTAAAGGCGCATTCACGCGAAAGAGCAACTCTATTTTTGAAGCGAGAAACTTGAATATATACTTCCGCACACTTGCGCGTCATAAATTTCGCTTCTTCGCTGATTTGACGAAGAGACATAAATATTTTTCAGATGTATTTTTCTCAGATTCTCTGTATCGCAAACTTACTTTAAGTAAAAGAAAGGTAAGCAAAAAAAAAAAAGTTGAAAGCTTGCACACTCTCGAGCCTGAGATCTCGCGCGTCGATCTATTTTGAGGATAGGATCTCGCGCGTTGCCCGAGATGCGTCCGCAATCTTGTCGCGCAATCTCGTAACGCGAAGACGTTGTCGAAGGAGAGCGAATCGACGCGAGGGACGTCTTTGCGCGTAAACAATTCACGCGGGCGGAACAGCGTATCGCTTTTAAATCTCTAAACAGAAGCGCGGGATGAAGTTTTCTCCGCGAAGTCGATGCTATAAAATGCCCGAGCTTTATACTTTCGCGAATGTCAGAATTCCCGAGACTTCCCTCTGTCTATAGCGGGTTGTAAAATTTAGTATATTTTCGGGAACTTCGAGTATAAACTTAGAAATTTTACAGCTGACGCGGGCGCGGCTCGCGCGAACTTCCTCCGCGATGAATTTCTTTGTGAAATTTTATTCGACGAGTTATCGCTTGAATTATTGTCGAAGGACCTTTCTTGGCGAGCTTCAATGCGCGGCTTTCACGTGAAACTCTCCTCTTTCTCTCCTCTTACCTTACCCCGTGATAATTCTGAAAATGGAAAATTTAAAAACACCGACGCGAGAGAAAGTTTGACAAAGACTCCGATTTACAATTTTAATGACCTGCCTTATTGTACGTGTGTGTGGGTTGGTGAAAATGAGAGAAAGCGAAGGAGAGAATGCGAAACTTAAAGAAAGCTTTTAACATCTTGTTAAAACAACGTCTTTTCATAGAACTCGGTGCCATTTCCGACTCTTTGTGGGTTCTAGCGTAATTTCCGATTTTTGCAATATTCATTTTCAAAATAAAACGTAGTTACATAATAAAAAAAACGATGAAAGAAGTGTTAAAACTAAATATCGAGTATTACAGTTTTTGCGACGAAAATCTTTTATATCCACAATCGTAATAACTCCAACCTCACCCACGTTTTAGAGGCCAGATACGGGGGGTAAAGGTAAGGCGAAGAAATGTAGCGATAACTTTTATCCTTCGTCCATTTGAGATTTACGATCACACGGCTATTACGAGCGGAATATAGGTATATAAATACGCTCGCTCCCCGCGATAATTCGATAATACGTTTGTCGTTTTTTTTTCTTTGTGCCGGTTCCACTTGCGCACTGCGCAGAAGGCTCTCCGGTGGATATAATAAACTACGAAAATAGCCGGATATACTTCGGAAAAGACTTTCAGTTTGCTATATTGTGTCGCGCAAACTGACCTGTTTCTGCAGTCGTGTGTATTTGAGGATTAAGGATTTTATACGAGAAAGTTTTAAAGCTAAGAATTGTTGAACGAAAAACACTTTCCGAGAAAAAAGGTCATATTGACAAATTTTATATCTAGTTATATCTAGACAAGTTTACATTTATAGTTGTATCTAATTGTATTGTAAACAAATTTTGTATCTAATTATACATGAATCATATATGATGCGACTGAGACGATCTCATTGATTGCAAATCACAACTAGATACAGAATTTGTTCATACGATTTTTTTTCCTGGGCATTACGCGTACGTAATAATAGTTTATTTAAAAAAATTAGATTTATACAATTGCCTTATGCGCTAATTTAAACATGTACCGCATCTATAAATACATCTGCGAGATTGTTCGATATTCTTTTGGCGAAATGTCCTTCAATCGGACTACGTTCTCTTTGTCCAATGAATGAAAGATGACTGAGGTTTCCACACTGAGAGAGTGTGTTACGTTCGACAACACACATGGCCGGTTTCCAACAGCCCGGCGCAATTAGAGTGTTTGTTTCGCGCGAGCGGCGATACAGTAAACTGCGACGATTTTTCAGGGATCACACGAGGACTCCAATCAAGTCGAAGAGTCCCAGCGGGCATTGGGGTTGATACTTGGAGCAACTTCCATTGCGGCCAACCAGCTCGGCCTCGACAACATCTTGCGGCAGTTCCTCGTTTCTCGAAGCACTCGGGCTGAAAACATGATTCCTTACTCTATATTGAACTGCTATAAAACACTGACTCTTGACTCGTGCCCGATGTATATATAGGTACTTATGTATCGGATAATCCAATTATTTTATATATATACGAAAGTTCGGTTTTATTATCGACAAACCTACATATTTTATTCACGAAACCAATTCGTACGGAAATTCTCCCAGAGAGAAAACTAACGAGAGAAAACGAAGTAGTGTATATTTTAAATTGCGACGCGCTCTATATATACGTGCTTCCAATTTACGTAACGTCAAATATTTCAGTTCGCTTGTTAATAAAGCCCGAGTGATTAGAATTCTGTTTAAAGATGCATCACAGGGAAGAGCGCGCGCTTTGACTTCACCGAAGATCGCGGGACAATTTTTTTCCGCAAATTGGCTGAAAGCTCTCTCCTTGCGAGAGAGCGCAAGCTTGATAATGCGCCCGCACCGCGTTCGCGGATAATGAGCTGGAGGAAAGGAACCTTCCGCAATTTCGCGATTCTGTTCGTTTACCTTTCTCCCTCTCTCTCTCTCTCTCTCGCCCTCGATGTAGAGCCTTTACGGCCAAAATAAAAATAGCTTTTCGGATCTTCTTACAACAATAATCGTCATCTTTCAAGAAAAAACGATTCTCATTTTTTTTTTATGTTGTTCTTGTTGCTTTGATACGACACACGTGACGATGCGCAATCGGAATTTATTGGAATTTTATTTCGCCCTGGTTTCTTGTTCGTTTCTCTTCTGCGCTTTTTCATCTATTTCTCTCTCCCCTCGCGATCGTTTCCGGAAAAACCGAGGGTCTCTCTTCGATGAGAAATGATAAATCCTGAAAACATTGACTCGGGCGATACACAAAACGCATGAGAAATATTTTCCGTCACACGAAAACATTTCTTAAGAGTTCTTTTTTCTCTCACGAGAAGATAGGACACATCCCATGTGTCCCGGTACACATCCGATGGTCGTGTAACAATGTCCTGCTCTCGTTCGGACGAGAAGTTTAGCTCGGTTCGAAAGTTTATTACCGGCTTTATTAAAATTCAAGACGGGTGTAACTCCGCGACTTTGTTGTCTCGCGCTGCGACGAAATATTTTACGATTCCTCGGGATGAAAAACGCGGTAGTAGAGAACTACTATGTGCCAAATCCCAAAAGACAGAAAATTTTAATAACGTCAGTGTATACATTGAATAACGCGAGGAGGACGAGCGCGAACTCTTGTCGTGTGTAATGTTAACTCAAGAAATTAGTTTGAATGTTGATACAGAGTAAATCGTATTTCACGGCGCGTTTGTTTCATTTTATCGCTCTGAAGGATCGACGAGGATTTTTCTCGTCGCGACAATTTGCAGAAACGGAGAGACGGAGAGCTTCTCGGTATAATTTCACGTTTTCTTTTCGCCAGTCATAAAGATGAAGATGCATCCGGGCCGGGTGTAATAATGCATCAACGTACGCCGTAGCGCGGCGACGCTAAGAATGAAGACACAGTAGGTACGAGCTTCGTTCCTTTGTGCTCCGTTTTCCTGCTGTTCCTGCGCGGACGATTTTTGAGCCTCGCGCGCGCAACGCGAAACGGAGCTTCTTGTTTGCGCAAGAGTTATCAAAAAAACATAGCCACACGAGAGAGAGAGAGACAGTCGGAATATGCGTTTTGTTGTTGGCGTCATCTCACAAAAAAATGGTCGAAGAATTTTTATTGTCGCATTTTCAGAGTCAAGTGTGTTGCGAGAAAGAGTTAGATAAAAAATTATTATTCGCAATTTCTTCGGCGATCGACGCGAGAAGTTTCGATAACTCGCTTTGAGTTCTTATCTTTCTATTCGCTGTAAGATTTTTAAGAAACGCAACGAAAAGTTTGGAGAAAAACATACAAAAGTGCGAGGAGAAGTTTGGGTTCATAAAAAAAACAAAAAAAAAAAACGGCGTTTCATGGTGCGCAATTCATCAACGCGTTATGCGATTGTGCAGGGAGAAAGGAGAAACTTCCCGTTCGTTCGTCGCGGAGGGCGACGTCGGTGACGACGCCGACGACGACGACGCCGACGACGCCGACGACGACGCCGACGACGACGACGACGACGACGATGACGACGACGACAATGTCGTTTTCGCCCGCGGGTCCGTGTCCTTTATTCATACGTTCCTGGTTGAAGAGCTTATTCGCTCGCGGAGAGAAGCGGAGTCGAAAAACGGAGCCGGAGAACGGATGCACGTCTCTCTATAGAGGTTGGGCGAAGAGAGAGTTGCTGCGAGGAAGCCAAATTTGCTTTTCCACAGCGCATATCTACTCCAATTTGCAGCGCCTTGGAACGCCGTGCCCGGAAAAAAGCCCGCGAGCGGCTCTTCCTCTCTCTCTCTCTCCCTCTCTCTTTCTCTTCCGGTTTTTTTTCTCTTTTGGAAAAGAGAAAATTCGCGTCCGCAAACCTTTCGGCGCGTTTTACCGCTCCAAACGAACAATACCGAGGCGCGACGAAAGGCAGAATATCGCAAGTTATTAACCGGGGATCTTATATTGTCGAGACGCGTATAATAGACCGTTAATTGTTTAAGCGCGACTCTCGTCGCCGAGTGATGAATTAAGAATCATTACCGAGCTAAGTAAGCAAGAATTTGAGGAGATCGTTTGTGTCTCAAAAACAGAAGAAGAATAGTCGAAAAGTTCACGAATATTTTTACCAGTTTTCAATCGCATTATTTTTCTTTCGATATATAAATTGACACAATAATTTTTTGCATGTTTTTTTTCGCAAAACAATTATTTTATATAAAGCGATAAAAATGGTTTAATTCTCTCTTTGTGTTGTATGAGAGATAATAATGTTTTGCGGAAACTCTATCTCGACCTCTTATTTTCCTGCCAATGTGGGAACTTACGTAAAAATCACGTGCACGATGTCGCCGATCATCCCGTTGTGCCGAAGCGGAAATTCCGAGGTCTCGCAGATTGCTCTCAGCAGACACCGCCTTCCGGGATGCCCGTAGCTACGGCAGAGGGAAAAATCAGGAAAAGAGAGAGAGAGATGGGGCAAGGAATCCCGGAGTCGAAGAATCGGATCGTACGCTGTCGGTTGCGGTCTGTTTACTTTGCGCTTTACGATTCTCTAAATACCGGATTGAAGGCTCTGTCTCGTGTGCGCATGTAATTCGTACACTTACATCGTCGACGCGCACAAGACCTCGAACCAAGACATATGTAATGCAATTCCCAGACCGCCCCAAGTGCTCGTAAAATGGAGCCGGGAGTACATTTGCCTCGAAGCTCCCACTGATTTTCCTTCTGTTCCGAACACTGTCGCGACACGCGCGATCGTGACGTTCTCCATAAAACTTCTATCTAAATGCTATCCACGTCGTTCACGACACGTTGATTCACGATAATTGCCGGCGGATAATCAGTCAATTTTATTCGCGCGTGTTACGTACTTACGTACGTCAGTTAAGTTCCGAATAAAACGATAATTATACGCGACAGGATTTACGTCGGTAATTAAGGATTAAGAAAGTTAGAGTTTGTAGATTTGTGTGTTTGCAAACTTACCTCTCGAATTTACTTTCCAGAACCTGATAGATCGTGGTTCTGTCGATATTTCGCTTTCTTCTTTTACGCGCCCAAGGCTCGAAGTACGTTACGTTCGGGGGTAAGTTGTAGCTGGCTTCAAAGAAGTACGACAAAGAGACCGAATTTAGAGGATCCTCGAGTGGCACAGCGAGAGCGACGAAGATCTGTAAGAGAAACGTTAATCGCCGTGCGACTTTTCTTTTATCTCGGAATTCCTCGCGCGATTGCGAAAGTTTTTTTCAGAGAGAACAAGGTCTTAGCCCCCGAAATCGAAATTCCAACAAATAAGAAATATCTCAAAAAAATAAAAAGACAAAAGATTAGAAAATTTAGAAAAGAGAAACTAAACGTTGCGGTAATAAATCACTGATTTAAGTTTAATTTAATACTCACCTTTTTTTAATATTAAATACAATTTAATGAAGTCAATTTAATTAAACACCGACGTTTTTATATCATTTAAACACTTACTTTTCATAACGTTTTATTATAACGTTTTTATTATAAAATAATGTAGTAAGGTTTTATTATAAAGTAGAATTATCTCTGTACTAATATTTCACAAAGCAAAATCGTGCCAAGTATAATACATTTTATATATACATAAATATATATACATATATATATATATATATATGTATATATATGTATATATGTACTTACACCCATAGTACTACTCTCTGGAAACGTTAGACTCCTGATGGGTCGATGTAGAATATCCGCGATGTCTGCGTTCGCCGTCTTGGATAGAACACCGTAAGACATCAACGTGAAATTGAGTACGAGAAATCTACGGATTAACAAACTTAATTTTCCCTCTCATCTCTTTTCTTGGATTTTATTTTGCAACAAATTTAATTGAAATCAGTAACTCGAAGCGAAAGGAAGGACGTTTTACAAGCTTACAAGATTTTCTCTGACCGGCAAGAAGACATGGCAAGCTCGGATTCGCTCGGAAACTGTTTCAGTCTGCGGACCCGTGGAACTTTGCGTCGATTTGCGCTGTCGACAACTGTTTCGCGACGTTGTTGAGACGCGTAGAAACCGGTCTGCGGTTTGCGTTCGCTCTGTACAGTTATAAGTCACGTGTGTGTTTGACAAACGTGCCCACGAGAACGTTTTTTTTTTTTTTTTTCGTCCGACAATTCCGCGCACGAAATTCAATCACTCTGAAAGAGTTTTCTCTCTTCGTGATACAACGAAATTCCCGAAATTATCGCGTGCAGAGTAAGATGACGAAAGTCTCTTTGATACTGATGCTGATGCTCGCGTGCATCAACGCCAAATCGAATCGCCGAGTGATAAACTTTCTTCGCGAACGTCGACATCTCTTGTTTCCCGACCCGAAGGACAGCGAGACGAGATATCAGGTATGTAAAAGTGACAAAATGTAAAAAAAAAATATATATGCAAGTGGAAAAAAGAAATGTTTTAAAATAATATTTATTCGGATATTAGGTTGTTAAGTACAAAACTTGATATACATATACAAATATATATATATTTGGATTTCTTTGATAAATAATATTGAAAATTTCGAAATTTCATACATGTGCACACACACGTGAGAGAGTTCTACTCTCAGATTGCATTTTCATTTGTTTGAAATGCTGATTGCAGCTTTTAATATCCTTTTGCATACATATAGCTCTGTATATATTTTACTTCATACATTATACATATGGGAAAAAGGACGGAGGTTGAATATATACTTCGCACAAGATTGCAAAGTGACGATATTAAAATATTATACTTGCGAATTACTTTTTCATGACACTTATATTATTCTGCACAGTACATTATGTATGCAGTAGTGCGGTTTCTCTTTTTTTTTTTTCGTCGCGACTTACAGAGCTTCTCCCTCTCCCTTCGACGTGACACGCGCGAGAACAGATTGAAAATACAACTCGCTATTTTTTCAACAAACGTAAAAACAAACTCAACGTCTTGAAAAAACGAACTCCGCGATTTGGATTTGATTGAAATCCGTTCTTTTTTGCCCCGTTAGTTTTCCATAAAAGCAGCTGCCGCAGAAGCTGGAATTAAGAGCACATATTTGCGCTCGAGAAAAAAAAAAAAATAAGAAGAAGAAGATGTGCGGAGATCATGTTAGAAGGTGCAGTTATACGTAATTAGATTATTAATGACGCGCTTGATTGCGCTCGTATCCATTCATGCGCGTCCCCCCGTGATCTTATAATTCCTCGAATTTAACGGAACGCGCTCCGTATAATGAATCCTAATTCTCTAACTAGATTTATCCGAAGAAATCACATTTCGCGTTTCCGCGTGATACGAAATCCGCCGCCGAGCGGCCGGAGAGATTATCAGTATTATCGCCTCCTTTATAAATATTTGTCCAGCGTTCGTCTCTCTCAGGCGCGCCAAAGAAATGGCTCGCGAGTTCTCGCACCAAGAGTTTAATTAAATTTGCATAGGTGCTGTTCGGACTCGGGCTGCCCATGGAGGGCGAGGTATCCATGACTCTCGGTTACGTGCTGAAGTGCAATTACAATCTTCCCTACAACGCGTCGGACTTCTCTATGCTGCAGCGGCGGTCGCGATTAAAAAGATCCGGGAGCGGCTTCGCATTACCGCGGACGACGAGCCGGCGAGAAGGTAAAGTGCAGCTGTGTGTGGGCTTAAACCGTGCGTGTATAAAAATGAGGCCCGTCCCACACCGTCTCTCGTTCCTTCTCTTCTTCTTCGTGTAATCCGCTGGTTATGCCCGTTTGTAATTTCCCTTCTCATTTGCGCGTTCGTGCGTTCGGAAGAGAGTCGTTCTTCCCGGCGGGCATGCGGTCTCCCGAAAACGGAAATGCGCGGAAACGGAAATCACAAATGTAACGGACGGGACGATAATGAAACGCGTAATACTGCGACGAGTACTGAAAAAAAATTATTAAAAAAAAAAAAAAAAAAAAAAAAGAACAGCGACGCGAGGTAATTAAACACGGCCGGCACAGCGCCGGCTTAATGAAACGCGACGAATGCGGAGTCACGTATTTGAGGGACACGATTAACGTTCGTATCCGCGCGTCGACGATAGTGTCGACGGGCATAAAACGCCGGATTTACGCGCGGATGCGATCTAATTGATGTGTACACGCAATCTCTGTGCCGCGAATTATTAAGAACGCAAAGAATTTAATCGTAAAAAATTATTCACGAAACGAAGTACATTCATGCAGAAATTGTTACGTCGCTTTTTTACTTGCGTATTTTTATATTTTTGTTTTTGTCGCAACTGTTTTTCTTACAAGTGCGAAATATATTTACATACGTATATAGTAAATATTTATTAGCTCAACAAAAATCTTATGAGTAACATCTTCATGTATTTTCGTGTGCTTCAAGTCGTTCGTTTCGCATCGAAGCGCGCAAACAGAATATTAAATAGGGACGTGATGATTAATTCCCGTTTCTCTGAGTTGACTAATTATCTGTCTATTAGACATACAGAAAGATATGAAACTAGATATCATTGGGATATAATACGCAGATCTCTCTCTCTCTCTCTCTCTCTCTTTCTCTCTCTTTCCGTATCTTTATCTTTGAAATATATTCATAAAAGACATTATGCGCGCGCATCGTCTTTTATGAGTCTCGAGGGTGCCACGGGGTGGATTAAACAAAGTAAAGCGACCTTAATTTGTAGGGAAAAAGTGCACATTGGTGCCATTTTGCAAAATTGCACGGAACAAAAATTTTTATACGGTCTACACTTGATCATTTTTTACATAGTTCGTTTACGGCAGTAAATAACGGCGCGTTTTATTTATTTTTTTAGTTTTTTATTTAAAATTTCGCGAGACTCACGGTCAAGATATATAATTAATTTCACGTTCTTTATGGAAAAAAAAAAAAAACCATCCACTGGCGCTGCCGTGTCTGGCCGTAATAAGAAAAAAAATAGGACACAAGAATTTCCCGACCGAGGCGCATTCTTTGGAAACTGTAGAACACGATACCGAGAAAGTTATACACGCCTATCCGGTTTAAAATCTCCGGTCGCGCAATTTTTTTTATTGGAAGTTGCCTCTCTCGTGACGAGAATAAAGAGGAAAGCTGCTGGAATTTCTATCAGCGGCAACTTGGCCTGCGCGCTTCTCTCGCGGCAGTTGAAAGCACTTCCGGGAAGAAGTATCCGACGCATTTTCATTATAAGCGCAAATATATTACCTTAACGCGTCGAAGTTGCGCCGAGATACGAAAGAATAAATTTATCAATATTACTTCACTCTGTGTCCTATCGACGTACCGCAAAAAAAAAAAAAACAATTTTTCCATTATTTTTATTTCTTCATTTTACAAGTTCGCGTGTTTTTACTATGCGAACTTTTTCGAACCAACGTCGAATGCAACGCGAGTTTACTTTGATATCGTGTTTCGATAACGCGTCGACTCTTCCGTATTTGATCTATCGTGACCGAATTCTTTTGGCGCGCAGCGCAGAAATTATCATATTTCTTCCTTTCCGACATGTGTCTCGTAACAACCAAAGCAAATAAGCATATATCTCCCAAAACGACGTCAATGCGAGTTGACAAATTCGAAAAAGAATTTTGCTCGCTAACGTTTTTTTTTGTTTTGAGAAAAAAAAAAGCGACATAAATTTGTTTAAGCTGCGATTGCGGCTACAACGTACTCTGTGACCTTTGCTCATATCGGACTTGAAAATCCATTTCGAATGTCTACTCTACGAAAATTGTACTTTTATAAGCTGCTCTCGTGGGGGCGAACTGCCTGGTGTAATGCAACCGACTGGTTTTCGAGAGAGTTCGCGGTATTTCATTTAGACGACGTATATCTACTTTTTCTTGTTCTTTTAACTAACGACAGCCCTACGTTTCTAGTGGCGACGGCCGAATGGCTGTTTACCACAGATGTTTCCCCCTTTTTACGATGTGAACTCTTCCAGAGTCAGGTTTTTTCCTCCATTTTCACCCGGAAGGAACTTCCGCTAGTTGCGGCGGCGCGCACGGTTTTCGCGTCTCGTCGTAGTTAATAGAAACGTGCTGTTGCGCTCGCTAATGTCCGCGAGTAACCCGTGTACAACTCTCTTTTTTTTTTTTTACGATCTCCTGTAATATTGACGCACGTTCGGAGAAAACGTCATTGTCACCATCGCGCATATCCGGCTGGTTTTTATTTTTACGAGCGAAAAGATCTTGGTGTGTGTGTGTGTGTGTGACGTAACAGATCTGACGGCGACAAATTCGAAAGATATCGGCGGGGAGCAGATAAATTTTGAAATATCTTGATATTTTAGCGGATAAACTTTGACCGATAGATATAACAAGCCTCGGGGAAAAATTTTTCCGCGAAAAATTAAATTTCATAGAATATTTTATATATTTTCTTTCTGTTTTTTGCAATTCTTTGTAATACCTCGAATATTATCGAGTAATAACAAGATGGAGTTTTTCTAATATCTAAGGTCAACGTTCTCTGCTGTTTTCGCGTATCAATCGTCATAAACGCGAGAACATTTCCCTTAACAACCCTCGTGGGAAACTCGCGTGAAGAAACCCGCGGTTTTTTTTTTTCCACAACGTTTAAGCGCGAGCATGAAAACGAGCATTTTTGGTCCAGATGTTCTTCACGACCTTTCCTCTTTTTTTATTTGCACCGTAGGTAGGACGACGACACGGTGGACCCTGTACGGAATGCTGGAGTCCACGCTGAACGTTCTCGGTTCCGGTAAGGCCTGTCTGCTGCGCGCCGTCTGCGAAGCCGCGGCGAATCCATTCGACAAAGGACACGGTCTCCTAGGGGAGCTGTTGCACGCCTTTTTGACGCCGTCGGCGACCCGCGAAGAATACGAAATCTACTCGAATCGCGAATACCACGCCGCGGAGAAACTCGGTAGGATTACGCGCGGAAGATGCGCGCGCTTCTACCCGGAATGCGACTGCAATCCGCTCGATTACTTCACCAAGCTGCTTTGATCTCGGACTTGAAGTTAAAAAAAAAAAAAAAAATAAACAAGCTCAAAAAAGTAAAAAAAAAAACAAAAAAAAAACAAAAAAAAAACGAATGTATCAAACGCGCATTGTATGTTTTAAGATAATATATTACTGCAGATAATATTACTGTATTAAGTCGCTCTGTAGAATATAAATTCAATTTGTCCAGAAGAGCGGAAATTGTTCAAGAGTTTTCCGTTTCTAACGAGCTGAAGTATATAATGCTTCGCGAAGCTCTGGCGTGTGTAATTATTTAATGTATTTGCTGAGAGAGAAGAGAGCACATAACGAAGTAAAATAACGCGAGGGGAAGCGCGCGAGTGCGCGCTCGCTGAGAGAGTGCTTATGCGGAATTGTGCATCAAAAGCTCCCCGCGCGCGCGCGCGCGCGCGTGGTTGAAGCGCGCCGGCCGCGAAATTCGTTGGCTGTGTGCTCTTCAAATGTGCTGACATAACACGCGGAAGGAAGGGGGAGGTGAAATTCAGGTGCCTCTTCGGGATCAGCATTGTCTAACAGAGAGGGAGACACACGAACGATGGGAAGATACCCGGCAAAAATGCCGGTCCCACTCTCTCTGCTGCATAATTTATAAGGAAAACTCCGCGAAGAGTGCACACACGACGAAATTGCCAAGTATGCGAAGAGAACGAGCCGCATACACTCCCGACGTCCACTTTCTGTCCATTTCCGCAACCAGCTGCGCAAGTTCGTCCCATCGACCGTGTCGCGTCGTCGTCGTCGTCGTCGTCGTCGTCATCGTCGTCGTCATCGTCATCGTCGTCGTCGTCGTAGTCCGTGGCTCTCTCGTTAAAGCTGCAATCTCCACAAAAATTTTTTGCATCGCACGGGACATTCGCGCGCCTCTTTTTCCACTACGTTAACGTGGAAAAGCGGGCGATCCACTTTCGCGAATGAAGGGAACGATGCATTATCTCTGCGAAGTGCTTCGCGCGCGCTCCTCTTCTTGTTTTTCTTCGCATTTTTGTTACAGATAAGCGCATCGTAAATCATGCTGAATTCATGCCCCGATGAAATTTTCCACAATTTTCTCGAGTGGTGATCGTGTCCTTTTTTTTTTTTTTTTTTTTTAATTTTTTTTCTAAATTAAGAATTTCGCGGGGATGGCAGAGCGCCGCGCGCTCCAGCGCCCGCGTCGAGAGCTAAAAACCAAATATCGCTGCACGCGCGGTCGCGAATTTATCGAATACTGCGAGCTCTTTTTTTTTCAGCGCCGGATATTTAATTAGTCACAACTTTGGGTCCGTTAAATAAATGTCCAAAATCCGTGAAATAAAAATTCTGTATACGGAGAAGTGGTTAAAAATATTTATAATTATCACGATGCGCGAAGTACAAAACAACATTCTTCGTATTTTTACACTTTAAGCCTTGCGTAATCGGAATGACGTGCATACATTATGTGTAAATCTGCGCGAAATTGTAAAACAACACTGTCAGCGTGACAGAAAGCTCCGATTTAGTTGGAGAAAGCTCATTTCTAAAAAAAAAAAAAAGTCCTCGCTGGAGTTAATTCGATGTTATTTTTTATGCGATGAGCTCCGAGTCGTTTAAACTAGTGCCGTTTCCCGCGGCAGAAATGTCACAGAATGAAAAGCTTCTGGCTCTGTAATCTCGCAAAGATGACCGCGTACAGCGCTTTAATTTTAATCGCGCTATACTGCATTACGTACAGCAAAAGAATCTAGAGAAAACGGATCGTGTGTAAAGATAAGTGAAATTTTACGACGCGTCTATCGATCTCCGCACCGTGTACCTTCTGCAGCAATATATTTCGCTCTTATTAGAACGCGTAATTTATTTCGCATCTTTTATTTACACGTTTATGTTTATTTACGTTTTTTTTTTTTTTCACAATCGTAAACTTCAACGAATGGATTTTTGTTTCGCAACGCGCGGCACGCAAAGATAAAGCAAATTTTTTTTTTCTGAAGATCGTTATCAAATTGTCCGACGTTTTCGCGAAGAGTTTGTTTAAGAAAGTTTACTTCAAGTTTTATTGAAAATCTCTCAGTGCTTTCCCCTAAAAAACCGTAACTTGTGCTTCGTTTATGTTTGAGGCGTCGGAAATATTTCCCGTTGTATTGGGAAAAGATAAATGATCGCGTCGGCAAAGCTCTCGCGTCGCGAGCTGGAAACGTTTCAAGCTGGAAAAAGTTGGAATCGTTTTTCCTCCCGTTCGTTTTCTTACATTCGGCGCGCCGACGACGTATTTACCGAGCTAGTTTCCTTTCTTCTCTCGCGATCATGAGATTTTATGTGATTGCTCGTGAGAAAATATTAGGCATCGCCTTTCGCTCGACGCATTTGGCACACACGAGCACGAAACTTCCTCTCTTTCTCGCGGAATGACGAAGAGCGAATTTCCGCGATTCTCGAAACGATATTCGCATGCGGCACTCATCTGTCAAATTGCTTCTTCAAACAGCTTAATTCGTTGCGCAACCAAACGCTAATTACGTGCTAATTATCGTTTGACGGAAACCGGACCCGTGTGTCTCGCCACACAGAGTGTGTCTTTTTTTTCCATCAAACGCGTCTGACCGCAAGTGAATTTCTCTACTAAGCGCGTCCGACCGCAAGCTTTCTTTTTCTACTGAAAAACACAATCTTACCGCAAACGCCGTTTTTTTCTTTATCAAGCGTGCGAGTGCAGTTTATCGAGTTTTTTTTTTTCAATCGGGTAAGTTTAGTCAATCGATTTAATTAAAAAGGAGAGTACTTGGATACTGGAAACTTTGTGCGATATGCAGAGAGGAATGCGGAGAAACAAGACGATATTCGCTAAAAGAACATAAGCCTGAGATATAATCTTTGTCGACACTAGTTCGCCACGCGGTTATGGATTCCTTTCTTTTATCATTATGAGATTTCTCCTAACATTCGCCGTCTGTTGAAATGCGCCGCATTAAAACCACCTCGTTTTCCGCGGGAGCCGGGGGATTGAAGACAGTTTTTCGCGACGAGCTTATCGAGCTCGCACGCTGCCGAGTTTTTCGATAATCACCTTTCATAACCACGTTTCCTCGGTTACTCTTCTTTACTCCCAATCCCTTCCTAGGAATATCCTGCCATCCTTCGGTCGCCGATACACGAGCCGATATCGCCGTTCTACCGGTATAATCAACTCCCTCGGGAAAGAGCGCGGGTAACGAGGGAGGGGAAAGAGCATCGTCTGCGTGACGTATCTATTTTCTCGTGAACACGAAATTTAACAGATACACACAAAGGAAAGGCGCGCAAACAAACGTCACGATACGAACGCGATCGCCGCGCGCGTACGTACACGTGTGGGAAAAACGAATATCATTTCGTCTCTTTTACATGTTTACTGAGATATTTTTTTTTCTCTGTTCTGAGTGTATTTTACGCCGAGCAAAGTGTATTCTATCGGCATCGGACGATTTTTAATATTGAGCGAAAAACGGACGAAGAAGTGTTGCCCGGCCGCTTGTTATTACTCTCAGCTTCGATATTAACGATAGAGCGATCGACGACCCGACTCTTCGCGAGAGGTGCGGCAGGAGGATGCTCGGAAAGTGGGTCGACGAGCGCAGCTTTTTAAATAGCGGGGCTTTCATGATTCCCAACAACTTTAATCTCGAGCATTTTTCGATACTTACCATCGACGGGAATTTATGTTCCGACATGTCGCTCTCTCTCTCTCTCTCTCTCTCTCTCTCTCTCTCTCTTATAATCGCGCGCGGATAGATCGCGAACTGCATGAAATTCGAACGCTGCCAACACATATATAGATCACGCAAACGTTGATGACGTACGTATTACGTCAAACTCCGGGTGCTGATCAAATTTTTATGGGGTATTTACAACAAAGTTAAAGCGAAGAAAGCGCTTCCGTTTATTATCCAGTTCGCGGCCAACGGTCGAACTAACTGGGCGTTAATTAATTTGCGATAATTAGCGCGCGCGCGCGTTCTCGGCCGCGTTTTTTCGAACGCGCGAAGCCGCGCCGAACCGCGTCAGTCCCGACGACAAAGTTGCAAGGATGCGAGTCCGCCGTGAATTTTCGCTCGCCGTTCTGTGCGTGTGCCTGCACAATGTTTATGGTATCGCTTCATTTCAAAGCGGCCGCAAACTTGCGCGCGATAAGAGATACCTGGTCTTCCCGCCGTCCAAACCATACGCGGTTACGAGAATGCAGGTATTTAAAGAGATATTTTTCATTCAAAAAAAACTGAGCAGAGAAATGATTGTTTTTGTCTAACCGACTCGAATTGTCGTTCGCGAGGCTCCGGTAAGTAACTGAAAGTTAAAACGAAACTTATACTACTCGCTGTATATTGAATTACGTACGGGATTGGTTTCTGAACGATCGCGACGACAAATGTATTTGATGGTGATTCCCTATGTCGCACGGAGAATCACGGAGTTTTCGGAGACATCCATTTTCCAATCTAATTTCGTGCGGTTGAAACGTCGATCGCCGGCGGTAGAGAGGAAGAGAGAAAGACGCGGAAAGAGAGAGAGAGAAAAAGAGAGAGAGAGAGAGACTCGATCTCTGGTTGTGGCAAACGATCGATGACACCTTTCTATATTTGAAAATCGTTCCAGTTAATCCTCGGCCTCGGTTTACCCATGGAGGTTGACGTCAGCATGATTATTGGCTATGTGATGAAATTTAATTACCTACTGCCTTCCAACGCCTCGTACTTGACAGATCCATACGTCCGTTATGACAGATCGATCAGCCGACGTGCGGAGCCAGATGGAAATGACGCTTCCCCACCACCAAATGCCGAAGGTATCGTCGTTTCTTTATTGCGCACGCAACGCGCGAAATTAACTCTCGACTCTCGTTGACTCTTTTTCAGAAAATCATTATTTATTCGTTTGGTTGTTTTTATTTATTTATTTTTTTTTTATACACATACGTATACAAGGGTATTAAAATATCGACGCGAAACACACGGGAAAAAAAAATTACGTTCGTAAATATATCGAGAAAAACGCGAGATTGTGACAAGATGCAAGAGTTACCAAGGTGTATCGAGAGAGTCTCTCGAAATCTGACGAGTATGCTCGGATCTCAAGGACCGAGAAGAGAACGAGGCTTAACGCCGGGATAAGGCGAGAGGGGGATTCTTTCCTTTTACATGTTAATAAGGCCACTCTTGTTGCGTAGCCCAGTGTCTACCGTCCTGGGCACAATGAACGTTAATCCTGGTCCTTTATCGAAAGGACTCTCCCATTCACTTTGATCTCGTTAATCCGACCTAACGTATAGAACGTTCCTCCCCCACTCTCTCAGATCTTTTTTTTTTTTCTCATTTCTTTTGCCGTATCGTCTTACGCTATACTTGGAATATCAGACTCGAAATGAATTATGGCGTTTGATCTCCGGACGCCTGGACGGCCTTTGAGGATATATCTTTCGGGATATTACCCGTTTCAGATGGAGCGCGAGAAGAAAAAATAATAATAATAAAAAAAAAAAAAAAAGTATAAGCACGCCCACCCTTTAAGATAAGCTCTGCATAAATTAATAAAAAGAGTTTTTATATATATTCTTCTGCGTGCGTAAATATTACCTCGGCGACGAAAATTTATTATTATTTATAATAATATGGGAGAAATAAACGATTATCTGCGAGTTTGCGCGAAGAGAAGATTTGCGCGACGAATAAATTTGGCGTGAAATTTTGATTTCACGGTTGTTTTCCGAAAAAGAGAAGAACAAAGAATATCGTTATCTCTTCCCGACAGCTTTCGAGTTTCTACACACGGTTTTGTTTCTTCCTTTTTTCTTTTTTTTTTCAAGCAACCTTAATATCCAGATGGGAATTGTACGAAATCCTCGAGTCAGCCTTCGAGTCTACGCGCTCCGGCAGAGCCTGTCTTCTAAAAACTATTTGCGAGGCCGCGGCGGCGCCTTTCAGACGGAGCCGCACGCTGACTGCGCAGCTCGCTCATATTTTCCTCACGTAAGCGTTAATCCCAACAAGTAGCGGAATAATCTCAGCTAGATTTCGCGAGCGTAGCCTCGCGATTAAGGAACTGTTACGTTTGCCGTTCTATTGTCGCAGCTTAGAAACGAGAACTGTTGTTCGCGTATCTGAGCCTCGTGCAAACGCGCGCGCGCATAAGACGTTTGTTCAGAATAAGCAGAACTGCGATTGCGTTCCACCTACGACACAACGTCTTTCTCTTAAAAACATATTTAACAGCTGTCATAGCATGGCAAACGTGTTAACGACTATTTATTTGCACGAGAAAGTAGTAGAAACCGTACTTTAATCGGACACAATTTCGTTGCATCCAACAGTACGCATGTTTTTTTCAGGCCTTCAACCACATCTGAGCCGCTCAGGAACGTCTTCGATCAAGAGTATCGCGCTGCCGAGATCGCGGGACAACAGGGACGGATCGGCAGATGTGACGATTTATTTTCGGAGTGCACGGAAAGCCTCTTGGATTATTTTACCGAAATAGAATAATAACCGAGAGTCGTTCTAGAAGAATTGTTGTTACTTTTTAGCGCTCTCAAGCATCAACGCAAAAAATTTAACTTGTTGCGAGTATATAACCGAAAAAAAAAAATGTAAATCACGTCGCGCGTCGAAAAATAAAGCGCGCGCAACATCGTAGAAAAGAAATTACCAAAGATTGCGGACGAAAACGTAGTATATATCTCTTTTAATAACAGTTCCGTTGCACCGCATGGTGATTAGTGGCCGGTCTCTTTGGCCTCTATAAATTTCAGGGCGCGCCGTTTTCTCTTCGCGCGCACCTGTTATCGAGCAGCGAGTATTGGCAATAACACCCGATAACTGCATCACGTTCAGTCGCAAGCGTTCTTTATATTTCTCGACCCCGTGCGCGTCCACTCGCTCGCCTCTCTCTCTCTCTCTCTTTCTTTCTTTTTCTTCGTTCGTTTACTTTTTTTTTGTCTTGCCCATTGTCCTGATCCTTAATATTTGTAATATCCAGTTCCAGAACGCCGATCGTCTCGAGCTCATATAACCGACTTCCGTGAGCTCGCGCACATCCCGGAGCACTACGTGCGCTGGATATCCCTCCAGAAACATTCGGCGACAGTAATAAATCTTGTCTATATGTCCGGTCGCTTTGTCGCGAGAAGTGCAATTAAAAAAATCGGTAATACCGCTAATAATTTTTTGTTCGAATAAACAAAAGGTAAAACTAATAAATAAAAAAAAATCCCCGATATTTGTTTTTTTTTTTTTTTTTTCCGCCGCAATACTTGCGCTATTGTATCCGCTCGATCGAGCGTTTGTTTTTTTTAGGCTGATGGAAACGCGCTTGGCCGGGAGCTTTTTCTCCCGCGAGTAATAAACTCACGTCTCAGGAAACATCCCATCATAATCCGACCACAAGCCCACGCACACGCGCATATTATATATGGAGAACGTGACGTAGAAAATATGACTCGGTGATTCGAGTTCAGCTGGCGATTGTGTAATAAAAAAAAAAAAAAAAAAAATAGTAAGCACCTGTCGCTGAAGAGTCTTCAACGAGGGTTCAAGGTCTCGATATCATGAAAGCGACAATATATGTATATATATATATATATATATATAGAGAGAGAGAGAGAGAGAAGACAAACGTTATATAAGAGCGCTATATAGAGATTTATATAACCCTCATATATTTTTTTTTACAACACCGTTTTATTATAATTTTTATTATATTGTGTGTTATATCAAGCGTTATTTTATCGTTATATTTTTATTACTTTTTTTTATAATATACTTATTTATAACTAAATTAAATGTTTTTTAACATTACAAACTTCTTCGTGTGAACACGTACATATACATGTACCAGCTTGTCGATTTAGTCTCGCAATCAAATGAGGCTATTCGGATCCATCGACTGGACAGAGAAATTGGCTTAGTTCACGTGGAAATGTACTGGATCTTGCAACGGAATTGAATTACAACTTTAGAACGACGTAATAAAACTCACCCCCGTTGAGTATATATTTATATATCCTTGTTCCTCCCCGTCGTAGGAGCAAGTGTAAAAAGAAAACGATTCAACTTCCTACATCGTCTCCAAACCATTCGGTGAGATTCACTATCGACCAGCCATAAACGGATTAGTAACTCGCAATGAAAATGTGAGTTTAATACACGTAATGTTTATAAATTTTAGCTGTCGATGTATTATATATATATATACATATTTCAAATGTAACTGATAATACCTAATCATCTATCTATTATTGCATTTCCATATTATAGATTAACAGAGATTACGTATAATTGAACATTATTAGATCTGATACAATAATGTATTATTATTATTTATATTAATGCGCGTCAATATATGCAAAATTGATTTGAACCGAATCTGAATTTCCGATGTTTAATTCGCTTGTGTTTCAAGCACTTCTAAGGTGCTGCGAACGAACAATAAGTGATTTTTTTTTTTTTTTTTTCAATTCGTAGTTGTGAATTGGCACGTACAACCGAGCTACTGTGGAAAATGGATCCTCCAATACCGCCATTGTTGACCAGCGTGATAAACTGACCTCGCATACGTCTTCTTTTGTTTCAGAAATACCTCGTGTATCCTGTTACGTAATCATTTATTTTTTAGCCTCACGCCGATTTTGCCCATTGTATCCTGCATTCTGTCCTCTCTCGTTGTCTAAAGAGATCACACGATCGAAAAGAACGCTGAAGAAGGCGTTACGTCGTCAAAGATGTGCTTTACAAGTTGCTACCGTTAATGTTTTCTAATATCGAAACAAATGTTTATCGTTTAAGTAATTTTTTTTTTATCGCGCACACAATTGACTGCAGCGAAATTAAAAAAAAAAAAAAAATAGTTGATCTATTTGCTGATACATATTCTTCACTTTTTTTATTGCGCAAAGCTTTCCAAAATCCGGACAAAATCCTCGTACGCTCATCGCATGCACACGGTGCGAAGAAGAAGAGAGATGATCCTCTTCTCGTCGCGTAAGTTTCCCGACCTTGTTATCGCGTAGCCTGTCCGTAAACTTAGATATTAACGGAGGCCCGTCGCGTGTAATTTCACACCATTTCTGTACATATGCAGCGCTCTGTATGAGCGCGTTTGTCACGAGATTTCAAATATTTGTTCGAACCACGTCTATGTCGACGAGACGCATTACGAAACCTCCCGGTCATTATGCATGCGTTGTTGGTGGGAATTGCTCGTTGGATTACATAAGCGGGCGTTACGGGTCTTCGAACCCGTCGCGGCAATTCGTGGCGTGGTGGCAACTCTCCGGGAAACGACGCAAACATTTGCGCTGGTGTGTTTAACGGTTCCCGCGCGCGCGCGACACACGAAAACGATGCCTCAAACCAATCCAGTTTGGTACCTACGGAGTTTGACGTCGTCGTTTAATCGGGGCAAAACCTCTCGTCTTGTCTCTCGGCGCGGTCGCACTTCAGAAAATGATCAAGTCAGTTGTTCTCGCTCTGCTTCTGTTTTGCCAATCGATCCGCATCGGGAAATGCCTCCGGACGGAAGACAAAGCTCGCGAGACAAACAAAACGAGCGACGAAATTTCACAATACAGACCGAAAAGGAGTCTCACTTTTCCCGATCCGTCCACGATCCTGGTACGTAATGCTGATTGATGAAATGAAAACTGTACAGTTTTTAGAATTATTATTATTCAACAATTTTACTTCTCAAACTTAAAAGCGCGTGGTCGAGATTAATTTATTTATTACAATAAATTGCCACAGTTTTTTTTTTTTTTTTCATTATGCGGACAATTAATTGCGAGCGTCGCCGAAACGACCAATAATAATTTGTTACTCGCATGAAATCAAAACGGGGTAACTTTCGTGTTTGTCGTTAATTAAATCGCGCTGATATCGGTGGGAAATTATTAGACAGCCGTTTTGACAGCTCCGACGAGCGTGCAACAAAACGTGATCTTTTCGCGGTTCATTCAATTTCCACGACAGCTGACAAGAGACCGGTATGGTATGACGCGCAAGAGACGGACAACACATGTACAAAAATGGATACAGGTTTTTCCGTTCGCGACACGTTGCTCCGGCGCGCATATGAATTTTGATAAAACCGCGAATTTCCAACGGCGAATCGTGCCGCGACGATGTGCCTGCGAAGGACAGTTTAACGAGATTCAACCATGGGTTTTGTGCGGGATCCGTGAAAAGCGTTTTTATGTCGGCTGAGAGCCGGCGAACGAGATCGATACATTCCACAAACCGGCGATAGACCACCGGAGGTGGGTGGTGACTTTCATTACTCGCGCTAATTGAAGACGCGATCGAGCTGATGAACTTAAGTTTTTTCATGAAAAATATCAAGTAATTTTGGTTCCGAATCATCGAGATATATTTTCGATCTTTCGATAAGTGAAAATTATGTGTGTTTGCGTATGTAAAATAAAGAACAAACAATATCTTCATTTATTCGCAGATTTAAAGATCACGATCAGGTATTTGTATCCGAAAGGGATATTATAGACGCGATAATGCTGAAAATCACACTCAGGAGTTTCCCATTGCGAAAGAACAGCCCCCGGTCGAACGGTGCGAGAGGCACTTGCGCCGGGAATCACGCTCTCGCCATGCTCTCGCAATCAATTACTCGCGCATAATGTCGGACTCGGGCGGGTATTGTTTGCCGGCCCGACAACCACCACCTCCCGGGAGGAAGAAATACTGCGTGTCGGTTCCTTTTTTCGCCTGGGCGTGCATTTTCTCTCCGACGAGGCCGTCGTACTCTCTGGCGCGCGTTTTACTCGCCGCCCAGATACTCCGGAACGATTCTACGCGGAAATTTGCGGTTTTATCGGAAATTCATACGAGGGGCGGTCCGCGCGAGGCCGGCACGGAAATTGGATGAACTTCGTACCGATCATCCGGAATCCGCATGCAGCCGCGATTCATCGCGATCATCCTCCTCCTGTCCCCGTCGTTTGCGCCGCATATGTACAGCGGGAGAGAGAAAGAGAGAGAGAGAAGAGGAAACAACTATATCGCGTCGCTTTATGGCCGGGCCGAAAATAATTAACGCGTCGCGACGCCGCTAGTGCCGACGCAATGCTCGACCTCCATCACATTCTATCGACGCGGCGCGCGGCTGATAATGTTTAGCCATGTTAAATGGTTAAACGTTGAACGACGATGCCTGATGATCTCATTGATTTAGAATAATAGCTGTGCGGATGAGAAGAGACCGAGTTCAAAGTTATTGAGTTTTACACACCTGATCGTAATCACATTAATTATAAATGGCATCAAAATTGACGGAAATGCAGATTGCGACAATTTAATTTTCACTTGGAATATATACAAAGTGGAAAAAAAATTTACGCGCTCTTTTCGCGTTTGTAGCTGATCTTTGGTTTGGGAACTCCGTTGCAGCTGGATCGGGAGAGCGTAATCGTGGGTGTGTTCACGAAAATGGTATACGCCTTGCCGACCAACGCCACAGATTTCACGGAGCCAGGAGTTTATTATACACGAACCAGTAAAAGCAGATGGAGCTTTTACAAGATGTTCGAAAAGGTGATGGTCACGTACGGCTTTGGCGGCAAAGAGTGTTTACTGAGGGCCATTTGCGAGGTCGCTCACGTTCCATTTGACGTTCATCACGGTCTGCTCGGACAGTTGCTGCAGACTTTTCTCAAGTAAGTGAGTTGACGGATTATTTGGAAAAATGAATACATTCGAAGTTTGCGCGTCGTAAAGGAAATTGCGAATTTTTTTAAAGTAAACATTTCAAAAACAAACATTTATTATAAATTAAATTACACGTTAATTGCAAATTAAGTTTTGAAAATATATAATATCAATTAATTAAAAACTAATTTTATATTGAACCGCTTATTTTCTTCGCGCAATTAAAACAAATTAAATTAAATGTTAATTTTATTTTTGCTCTCTCAATTTTTGACAAAAATGTATTTAACAAGTGTTTCACATTCTTCGAGATAAATTCCTTCAATATGTGAGTAAAAACGTTATTGATAATCGAGGCAGCGTTCGGTGAGAAAAATCGATTGACCGCGCGGCGCCGGTCGATGAAACTCCGTCTTGCCCGCGTAACGTCAATTACACGCGAACGTGTAATGTCACGCCGGCGACGGTATTTAATAAACACCGCATCAAACACACAGCTCGGGTTTTCTCCGATAAAAAGCTGCATCCGCGGCCTTTCCGCGTTCGTTTTCCGCGCGCGACGGGATCGTTGTAATTTTTCACGCGCGGGACCAAAACCCGTATATGCGAAATTCCATGGGATTCCAGGCCGTCCAGCACGGAAGAAGAATACGACGAGTACGAGGATCGGGAATATCGGGCGGCCGAGTGGCTGGGCGAGCGAGCGGAGGGCGAAAACTGCCACGCCCTTTATCCGGAATGCCGCAGAAGTGTGCTCGACGTGTTTTCCACGTTGATCACGTGAGGCCGGATGAAAATCTCTGGTAGCAGCGATGCGCCGATCGAATGGAAACGTTAGGATTGTCGAATAATATCGTAAAATACAGATTCAAGAGTCCAGAAACAACGCGCCGTTAAAAACGCGATTTGCAAACAAGGAACACAATATTCTCAATGTCGCGCTCCAACTGTCCACGATTGTATAATACAACGCGTTGATTTGTCAGATAGTTTTCTTAAAAGACTTTGTAACAAGAATATATTAAACATCGCGTTTCTTAAAAATATAAGGTGAGTAGGTAGTTTGCTGATAATTTCCTTACAGACACCTGTGACAAAAAAAAAAAAAATAATATGTACAATTATCAATTATAATTAGAATTTCAATAAATTGTCGCCGTTACTCGGCAGCGAGAGATTCCTTCGCGCGAGAACAATCCATCTCCGCGCTCCGGTGTTTTTCGTCGTTTCCGAGGATGTGTAGAGATCGCGAAAAAGCGCGTTTTCCACGCGCTTTTCTCGCGCCTCTTCCTATTGGCATTCCTTTCCTTTCTTGATTTCGCGCAGTTTCATTTTCCTGAGAGAGCGCGCCGCGGAAAGAAAACACACGATGGGGTTTCGGCGGGTGAAATTTCACCCGGCATGCGATATTAAAGAATCTTCGGCATCAGGAACCGAAAGAAGTGAGGAGAGGAGGGGGAGGGGGAGGAAGGAGGGTCCTCTGAAGTTTATCCCGGTTTTTCCGTTATACTACTATACGGCGCGTATAATCAACCAAAAGAAAAGCTCGTTGGAAGTTTTACGCGAGAAGCGATTTCTTTATTCGTTCGTTCGCGAAGCTGCTAAGATTGCCTTTTTACTCGACGCTTTTTCTTTTTGATCGCGAAAACTGAATCTCTCTTTGAGGAGAGAAAAGTGTTTGCATGTGTGCGTACGTATATATGTGATATATATATGTATCTGTGCGTATACGCGCGCTCAGCAAGATAAAAACTAATAATGTATATCGAAAATTATTCTCCGAATTTACGTATTCTCTCAAATACAACACATTTGATTTATCTCGAACGTCTCTTGTGCGGAGCCGCATCTTTAAGTGACAGAATTCAATCTCGGCAGATTGATCTTAATTCAACGCGCGCGCTCACGAATATGCACATATATATATATATTCACGTGCACACGTGCTTATATGTACATTTCCCATAATGATGCACATATTGCGACCGCATCCGCATCCATACGCGATGCATGTGGTTGCCGGCCTAATTATTAGATAATAGACGTGCACCACATAGTTAATTGTATATATATATATACGGATATTAATTTATTCGGAGTAAACTCGAGTCTTTCCGAAATAAATATCAATGTGCGTATCTACCCTCGTCACGAAGAACACATTCGAGAATTGAACATTCCACCACATCTCAAATATAAATCTGGATAAGGAAAAAAAGAGAAATCCCGAAAACCGTAGTCGTGAACTTGTACGGCATTCGGAGAACCGCTCTTAGCGCGTTACAAGCTGGCGAAACGATTTCTTTGCCATAATCTTTTATTGTGTCGCACTGTGCGCTTGTTCCCGCTACCTTGTGAAAATCTCGTTTCCTCCGGGGCTTCGTAAACACGCGGTTTTATGCGCCATTTCGTGCGGAAACGCTAAACGAGTATATATTTTTCTGGGAGCACAGGTTGCGAATTTTGTTTCACGACTCGCAATGGCCGCGCTCGCCCGTGTGTCTACTTCGCTCCAAAAGATATTTGCGAGTTCGCGCAGTGCCAACAGACACAGGAGGAGATGGAAGAGAGGGAGGGGATGGAAGGAGAAAGCGAAATTTGATCGGAAAAGTTTTCATCTTCTTCGGCGGCGCAGAAGGTGTCCGCGAAATTTTCAACTAATGTTGCCGGCGCATTTGTGTTCGCCGAGTTGATTGTAGTGATACGTTTTTTTTTTTTCAAACTTCCCTTTGTTTGGTACGTTAAGAAGTTAGGGGAACAAGAGAAGAGGACAGCACTAATTAACTTATTTTATAAATTCGATTTGTGCAATCAACCAATTACGCGTGTGTCGCAATTAATATTTTAAACACACACACATATCACATATTAATATTTCAAACTTAAATTGTAAGTAATCTGATGACTGATTGACTACCGGTAATCAATCAGCTATCCGTAATTATTATTATTGTTAAATAATTTTACTGTAAATTTTAATTCGCGAATGTATATTTAATATAATTTATTGCCAACTAATTAGATGTTACGAATGTAATTGATAAACGTCACAAAGTTAATATAAAACGATAGGTGTGATGACTCTGCACGTGTATAAATTTCTCCCTCGGAGATCTCTAAAGAAATTTTGAAAGAATTTTTTTTTTAGGAAAAAGGACGCCGATGTTACTTTCACCGTCGACATAAAAAACGAAACGCTATGGATTTACAGCTCCTTTTCAAATTGTCGGTACATTCAGCTTCACCCCTCGTTGAGAATTGTACGAAGACATTTACGCGTGCTCCTCATTCGACAGGATATGCTTGTCTCTAAAGCGGTCGTAGTGAATAGAAACGATTTACTGCCGCGACACATCCGCTCTCTGACGCCAATACTTTCCCCTCGCAAGAGAAAAGATATTACCTGACATTGGGTGGAGATTGCGAGTTTGCTTGTCGGCAAAAAAATTTGCATGGATATGATGGCATCATTCGATTCACATGACTGACAGATGGAGATGTTTGTTGATACATATAACGTATATCTCGAGCGAACGGGCGAATTGCCATCACCGTTTTGGCGATATATTGAGTTTTGTCGGAGCCAAAAGTCAAAAGTTTCCAGGCAACATTAAAGTGTTGAGACTTTAAATCGGATTGTCTTAACTTATTAAACCAAATTTTTAAGCACAACACAGGCGGCACGCTATGCGCACGCTGTTAATGTTTTTATTTTAACGTGTTGTGCCATTTAAACTTAACCTGTCACCGCGATGACAGCTAATATATATGTATACGTCTTACAAACCATATAATACATATAATGTACATATAAGAAATGTCAGAAATAACGCATGAAAATCAAACTCAAAAAATAAAAAAAAAAGGAAAACTAAAGGAGACTAAAGTCACGTGTCTTTAAAAACGTGACTCAAGTAAAGGACGTGACAGAAAAAAGAATAAAAAAGAAAATATTATATATATTCTATATAATATTCTATACATAATATATAATATATGTAAAATATATATAATATTATATATATACATATATATATATACCGTAATTACGTGACCAAAACCAGTGATCTCGCCGCGGCCCGGCGACCGAAGTCAGTGACCCCGCCGCAGCCCGGCGGCCGAGGTCAGTGACCCCGCCAAGGTCGCGCGGCCGAGGTCAATGACCCCGCCGCGGTCACGCGACCGAGGTCAATGACCCCGCCGCGGTCACGCGATCGAAGTCAGTGACCTCTCACTCTCTCTTTCTCGCCGTAGTATATATATAATACATTTAATACAATATAAGGTATAATAGTATAAATATATAATAAATTAATAAATGATGATGAGTGTAGTCAGCTTCAGATTTTTTTAAAAAATAAATAAACTTAAGTCATTGACAATGGCTGTTTGAAGCAAAACGCTGATGATGATGTGTATGTAATAGTGTGTTACTTTATTTAAGCAAGCTAATATAAAACGTTTTCGAATTAGACCTTTTTCAATATAAGTCTACAAAATAATAATTTAATGTTAAAATTCGCAAGAAAATACAATAATTGCGATCAATATCGAGAGAATCGATTGTGATTTTTTGCACACGTTTTTTCTGGTAGGATAAGGTCGCAATTTTAATGTTTTTCTATTCCGTTCGATTAATTTTAATAAAGCAATTTACGTCATCGTTTTGCTCATTTTATTCTGCTTTTAAGTACGAACTTCCGACATTAGACCGGCCGTATAAATTAATCGCTGCACATCCAATTCCGTTCTATTCGATCTCCCACTTCCACTTGTGTCTCTCCGCCCCATCGTTATTTCCCTCTCGAAATTTCCCTCGAATTCGACGGAAATCCATCAGAAGAGATGAAACCTTGAGCATTCGTCGGCTATCGTCTGGAATCATTCGCGGTCGACCTAGCGACCTTTTGCGGCGAATCAATTTCACACACGGAAAAAGAAAAGAGTGGAAAAGAGAGACCGAAGTAAAAGTATCTCACGCACACGAGAGACGCGTTATACGCTTTTGTACGTAAGCTTTTGTACATGGACACAGAAAATTTTACGTCGCGGATCTCGTTCGGTTATGAAAACGAGACCGTTTGTGCCGATTTGCTCACGCTGCGTGAAGCAAAATGTCGATTTCGTAAATGTCGAATTGAAACTGTACTTTCTATGATCGGAAGCGTCTAAACGGCGTCGTTACGCCGGTGCTTGATGACAGCGAGCGCCAGAACGTTTCTCTGATATTTGTTCTAAAGGAAATGGTGTGTGTATGTATGTGTGTATGTGTGTGTGTGTGTGTCTTACTCGCCACGCTGTGCGAAACGTAACTCCTCGGAACGAAACGGTCGTCCACTTAAAGCTTATATCGAGCTTTTGCCGAAGATTTTATGACGAAGTTGTTGACAACACGGCTGCCATTATTTGATGATCTTTTTCTCTGACAGACAGTTTTATATATACTCGACATGTGTAGGGAGAATTATAAAATAGAAAACTTATACTACAAAATAAAAGAGAAATACACAAAGTGAAGATTATGTTACATTACATTGCGCACTCATATTGGGAGAACGTCTACTCTTTACAGTTAATTGATAGTCGATATTCAGTAGAGTAGCACGTGACCCAATATTGGACCGGCGTCTAAATTATTTATACACGAGTAAACGCTAAACAATCCCATTACTAATTTGAAAATAAATTAAAGTTAAAATAAATTAAGTCAAAATAAATTAAAGTTTATCAATAATCGATTACTCCTTTGTCCGTTAAACGAATTTAAAAATTCGAAATCTCGCT